TGCCCATAAGAGCTGCTTGCAGTTTAAGCCTTAGAATGGAAATTGGCTTCAGCGGCGCTACTCTTGCCTTTGCGGCGATCAGCGTAACCTGACTTTCTCCTAGCTCGTCCGTGGTGACGTAATACACCGCGGCGGCGTATGCTTTCTCACTAGCATCCGTGATAGTGTGTAACTCTCCTTTGCCGACGCCTTCAGCAACGGGTCTAGGTACTTCTAAATGACCTAATTTCTTCACTTTCGATATACATTTACAAAATAACACGTGTAGTTCGTGTGGAACTTCTTCATCCCAAGAGATGCCTGTCCTCCATACTTGCTGGATTAGCGACTTCCCTTGAATCGTTATGGGTGATGCGAGTCCTAAAGGATCGAAGACTGACATCACAGCGCTAGTTATCTCCCTCTTCCTAGGCGGTCGTAAACCTTCCATCACCTCTTCCGGTGTGTTACGAAGACTTATGGAGAAACTTATTACATCTCGTTTGATATTCCAGATCAAACCTAAAGTGCGTTCTGTGTGCTCCTTATCTCCCAGCGAAGCACTGTCGCTCTTATATTTATTTTCCATTTTACATAAAACCTCGGGTCGGTTGCTAGCCCATCCCCTCAGTTGGAAAGAAGCGTGTTTATGAAATTCATACATATCGTTTACAATCTTTTCGGCCGTCGTCACGTCGGGAAATGCCTGTAGATAGTCATCCATATAGAAATTGCTTTCCGTCGCGGAAGCTGCTTCTGGATAGAGATGTGCGTTATCCTGCGCATTTCTATTCTTCACATATATAGCGATGCATGGTGATGATGCCGCTCCAAATATGAGTGACGTCAATCTAGAACGCCAAATAACGACTTCAATAAGTCCGGTCCGGTTAACAATGCATCGTTGAAACAACGTCCGCCCGTCCTTGAGGCGGTGTCGAAAACTATCCTTATTTTCCCTTTTTGTGGGTGAGTCACTGCGAAGTGAGGAAGATACCACGTGCGTGGGGAAATGGAAATATGGTTCGCCTTCTCTGCGTAACCGTTAACGATGAGATTTTCAATTTGCTTCTCATATTCTTTTTTCAACTCGCTATTTTTATCGAGCTTCCTTTCGATATTAAACAGGCGACTTTCAACCTGTGCTCTATTCGACGGCATGCACTCATTATCTGTGCGCCATAACAAAGCAGTCTCGTACCTATTATTAGGTATACGACGTACCGTTTTGTTCAAAATATTTAAAGCTCGTTCTTCTGGGTCGTTTGCGGGCTTACGCGCAGACACTTCCAAAGATTCCAAACTTAAATAATCCTTGATCAACTTCCACATGTCTTCCTCCTTCTTGGTGGAAATATGATTAACAATCTTGATTGGTTTAATGCCACCCGATATGTGACCATTTAAAACCCATCCAAGCTTGGTAAGCGATGCTACAGGTAGGTTCTTACCTCCTGAAATTAATTCACGAGTAACTATGAGATGCCAATTGTCTTGACCAATTAATATGGTAGGTCTGGACCTCTCATAAATCAACTCGTCCTTAATCGGTGTTAAATGAGAACACCGTCGCAGTAATTCTCGGCTTACCGACTGCGGAGAAAGATTAAGTGACTTAATAGTTTGTACTCTTATCTCCTCTAAGTCTTTCGAGAAAATGCCTTTTATTTTAACGTTTAATCGATACGAACTATTGTCGTTAATTCGCTTGCCTCCTACGGCTTCAATATGTAATTCTTCTTTGCGTCCGCGTGGCAAAAGAACCTATATTTCGGCAATCTTCTGCTAATCTTGGCATACGCTTTACATTCTCGATTTCGGCTAGAATGAGCATCTCAACCCTACCGAATCTTCTTTCGAGAGCGTTCATTATTTCTTCAGGTTCACACAAAGTAAACAACAATGACTTAACCGCTTCCTTAACGGTGCCCTTTAATGCCCTCTTAAGGCGTGCGACATTCTGCACCCCCGAAAATTGGCTTCTTGTGTCTTCAAACACCGTTTTGAAAATTATCCATTCACCCGGATCTCCATCGAAGACCGGTAATTCCAGGAGGAAATGAAGCTGGGACGACTTATCTTTACCCGCTATCTTTATTGCACTCACAATCGCTTCGGTCAATTCTGACACCTCATACGCGTGTGCCTTCTGTTCATTTTCTAGGTTGCGCTCGACCTCCGCCCCTTTGCGGCGTGATCCCTTACCCGCTCCCTTATCAGTAATGTCGGGTTGCATTACACTAACCGGCGCGCTCATTATGTTCTGTTGAACCCAACTCCTTACGAAAGGTTCCACCTGAGTATTCCGCTCTTCATCATCCTCACTCGAGTCGATTTCCTCTTCTCGGTTGAGATGTGCCAACTCCAATTGAGACTTGGCTAAGGCAGCAGCTGCCTGTGCTCGTTCGAGCTCTGAGCGTTCGAATTTAATCCGCGCCTCTAATCACCTCTCTGTGACCCTTTGTCACTAGTGTGCCCGATTACTGTTCTTGACGATGCCGCTTCTTCAGTCCCTTGACCTACTTTTTCGACTACCGTTTCACTCCTGGATATAACGGATTTCTTTGCGGTGCTGGTCTGCGTACCACTGGTGTCCGTCCTGTTGCTTGTCGTTGCCACGGACGCCCCTGAGTCCCACGTGCCTGTGGATGTATCGGTGGTGGCTCCACTTAAAGGAGTTGCCCCACTCGAAGCAGTAGCTGTGGTCGCTCCAGATGATTCCGCCTCTTTAGCCTTTCTTGAGAGCCCTATTCTTGTCCTGGTTCCTTCGCTCTTCTCGGTCTGGTCTTGTGCCTTCTTCATCTTGCAGGTAGGTGATTGTTGGCCTACGGTCCTTACGGTCTGAATACTTTTTAATTCGAGGAGAAAAATAAAACTTCTTGATGCAGATATTATCGCCGTGTACTTTCAATTGACAAAAAAAAAAAAGAATTGGCGGTGGTTACAACTTAAAAACAACAAAGAAAAAAAGAAATAAGTAAAACGTATGTAACGCAACTTCGTGCGTAACAAAAAACCACAGGCGTTTTCGTAGACATGCCCCCCCGGCGTTGAAAGCTTGTCTTTCAACAAAATTAGCCTTCCTTGTTGTTAGGTAAAGGGCAGATTTTGCAGAAAGGTCTTCGGACGATTCCGGTGGCAGTTCTGATATCGGCAACGCGGTTGATGCCGTCGGCTCCGGGATGAAAGGCTGTAATTCGACCCAGTCGCCATTTGAGCGGCGGTAAATTGTCTTCCTTCAGAATTACAAGATCACCCGTCCCTAAAGTGTCAGCATTGGAACGCCATTTTGATCTCTGCTGGAGTTCTGAGAGATATTCCTTGCTCCATCTTCTCCAAAAATGTTGACGAAGTTGTTGGATGCGTTGGTATCGACTCAGTCTACTGCTAGGGACTTCTTCATAATTTTGAGAAGGAAGAGAGGTGATGGGGCGGCCGATGAGGAAATGTCCCGGGGTTAATGGCAGTAAGTCATCAGGATCCGTGGAGAGAGGTGTCAGCGGACGAGAGTTCAGTACACCTTCAATTTGAACCAGCACAGTGTTTAATTCCTCGTATGTAAGGTTACAATTACCTAACATTCTCCGTAAATGATATTTTATTGACTTAACGCCTGCTTCCCAAAAACCGCCAAAGTGAGGGGCTTGCGGAGGAATGAAATGGAAATTTATATTTTCCTGAGCCAAATTCTCGGACAGTGAATTGCAATTGTCTTTTATAAAACGACCGATTTCGTTGTATGCGCCTACGAATGAAGTTCCGTTGTCGGAGTATATGTGCTTAGGTTTTCCGCGACGTGAAATGAATCGACGAAGTGCTGATAAGTAATTATTACTTGTTAGATCGCCTGTTAACTCCACGTGTACAGCCTTTGTCGCAAAACAAACGAAGATGAGAATATACACTTTCGTAAGCTTGCAACCACGGCCTTGACGACTGGCGGACATAATAGGTCCAGCATAATCGACGCCAACGCTCTCGAAGGGAAAACCGCCGGGAGTCACTCGACTCTGAGGCAGATTGCCCATAAGTGGATTTATAACCCTTCCCTTATAACGACAACATATTAAGTAACATTGTCGATAACAACATTTAGCTAACTTGAGACCTCCGATGGGCCAATACATTTCTCTAATTGAAGCTAATAGTAAACGAGGACCGGCGTATAAAAGCTTGACATGCATATACTTAAACAATAATTTGGTAAAACGATTAGTGGACTGTAACATAATCGGATGTTTCTTTTCATAAGTAAATAATGCATTTCCTAAACGACCACCGACACGCATTATTTTATTTTCGTCTAGGAAAGGATTAAATTTCAAAATAGTACATTTGAAGGCAATTTTTTGTTATTATATAAGGTCACATATTCCTCGAATGACTCAATTTGTGACAATCTAATTAAAGTATTTAAAGAATTATGTAGTTCGTCGTTACTTAAAAATTTACTTTGTACCGGTTTCTTTTTACAAATATTAATAAATCTTAACACGTAGGCCATAGAACGTTGTAATCTTATAAAATTAGAGAATCTCTCAAAGTCAATTAAAGGTTTTTTCTGATCGGTAACAACTAAAGAAATCTCTGAGCGAGTTTCTGGTAGCTTATCACTTACAATAGGGTTAGCAGGCCAACTAGACATGTCACCCTTTAAAAACTGTGGACCAGACCACCATAAGTCAAGATTATGAATTTGATTTATGTTCGTACCGCGGAAAACATAGTCTGCCGGATTGAGATCAGTGGGAACATGTCGCCAAGTAAATGAACCTGTTTTTTCCAAAATTTCGGCAACTCGATTACGAACAAAAGGTTGTAATTTGTTAGGTAGCATTTTTAACCAACCTAAAACGATTGTCGAATCTGACCAAAAAATTACTGATCTTACTTGGATTCGAAGCGAACTTATCACCTTCGCATAGAGACGGACACCGACAAGTGCAGCGCAGAGCTCAAGCCGTGGTATTGTAGTCGGCCTTAAGGAGCTACGCGACTTTTGGCTGAAAGTAAACGCACCATCACATTATTTTTATTATTAGAACTACGGACATACAGACATGCTCCGTAAGCCACTTGAGATGCGTCACTAAAATATGTAAGTCTACATTAATATATTGATTGCAGATAACACTGCGTGGAATTCTTAAATTGTTTAAAAATGATAAGTTTTCTACAATTGAAAGCCATAATTTAATTATTTCCGAAGGCAACTGTTCGTCCCATGTAAGTTTAAGTAACCATAATTTTTGCATTAAAATTTTCATAGAAATTATGCATGGGGTCGGAAGACCCAGTGGATCAAAGATTTGTGAAATAACCGAGAGTAGTCCACGTTTTGTAAAATTATTTAAAACGATTTCACTCGTCGAAAAATACAGTTCATCAGACTCGATTTGCCAGCTGAGACCTAATGTTTTACAGGGTTCCGTAGAACCAATATTTAATTCGAGCGATGAATTGTTATTATTTAGTATTACTCGAGGTTCATTTGATTTCCACTTACGGAGGTTCATACCAGCTGTGGCCAGTTCAGAAGACACCTTGTTATGTATGTCCAGCGCATCTTGAATGCTGTCCCCTCCTGTTAATAGGTCATCGACGTAGAAGTCATGGATTATTATTTCGGAGATTTTATCGTCCTTGCAATCCATACCAATCTGCTTAAGACATCTGGTGGCGAGATAGGGTGCGCTGGCTGTGCCATACGTAACGGTGTTTAACTGGTACGCTTTCATGGGCTCTGATGGATCATTTCTCCAAACTATTTGTTGGAGAGATCTGTCATCAGGATGTACGACGATCTGTCTATACATCTTTTCTACGTCTGCTGATAGCACGTACTTATGTTGTCGGAATCTAAGTAGTATAGATAGCAGATCATCCTGTACAGTGGGCCCCACTAATTGCAAATTATTATATGAAATACCGGAAGTAGTCGGACTGCTCGCATTGAAAACAACTCTGAGCATAGTCGTTAAGCTGCTTTCGCGAATCACTCCATGGTGTGGTATAAAATATGCTAACCTCCGTGGATCAAATGAACATGCAGACATGTGTCCTAGTGTTAGATACTCTGACATGAATTGAGTATAATTATTTTTGAATTTGGGTTGACCCTTAAACCTACGCTCAAGAGAAAGGAGGCAAAGCTTGGCGCGTTCCTTGGGAACCGCCTAAATTATCACGTGATTGATTCAGTGGTATTCTCACACAGAAACGACCGTCTTGTAGACGAGTTGTATTTTTAATAAAATGTTCTTCGCACATTTTCTCCTCCGCGGAGAGAACTGATGTATCATGGCAAACCTCCTCTAGGTGCCAAAAACGCGTCAATAGGTTTTGAATATCATCGTTATTATCATTGTGCGAAGAGACGTTTTCCCTCAAATTTAGTTTTACTAAAAACGACTTAGTGTTAGAAATCGAATACGGTACTTGGCCATTATTAATTAAGGGGCCTGAGACTAGCCATCCTAACCTAGATTCAATGAGTACCGGCTTTCCGTTTCCTAAACTAATTTTACGTACCCCTAATAGGTCCCAAAAAACATCCGCACCAATAATTAAATCCACCGACGATGGCGTGTGGAAGCGGGGATCTGCTAAACAGAGGTTACTAGGTGTGTTAATGTCGTTTAAAGGTATTTCCTGACTCGGTACTTCGTCCGTTATATGAGGCAAAACGAAACAGAAAAGATTAGTATTAAAGTTTTCGTTCAAAGACTTTATAGGCACGCAACACATTTTGCCTATGTGAGACTTAGAGTTATTAATTCCTAATAAAGATTCGTTAACATTAACTATCGGTAATTCTAATAATTTACTCAATCTTTCCGTAATTAGGCAAGAAGTGCTACCGCTGTCTAGAATAGCGCGAGCTAAGTATTCCTTATTATTGTGACCGTATATTTTTATAAGGGAAGTGGCTAAAAGTACTTGATTTTTATTTCGTAGGTAGGTCGATACTTGCGCAGACAAAGTGATATTATTATTACCGATATGCTCATCTTCGCACGATGTACCAGGGAGAGATAGTGGACCGTCCTCAGGGCGAGAAGATAAATTGGGAGTTGTCTTGAGCTTCATATCTGAAACGTGAATCAAAGTATTGTGCTTTCTTTTACACACTTTACAGCTACTCGACTTACAACGGTTTGCAAAATGACCAAAACGTAAACAATTATAACAAACCTTAAACTGCGGTAATAATTCTAATCGTTGTTCAGAAGAAAGCCCTAGAAATTTTGAACAATTGTTTAGACTGTGCTCAGCCTTACAGTTAGGGCAAAGTTTGAACTGAGACATTTCGCTTTTCTCATTTAACCGATTTTGGGTCTTAGTGACTGACACCATGCTTTTAATTTTATTTTTATTTTGGTTAATTTGAGGATTGCGAGACAGTTCCAAAGTTTCTAATAGATCTGCACGATTTTGTATAAATGATAAAAATGACGCAAATGAAATAATTTTGTTATTATCCAAGTGACCTTTGTACTCTTCCCATTCCCGGTATGTCTTACTATCTAATTTGTGAGTAATAATGTGGATGAGTAAGGTGTTCCAGTGATTTATGGGCTCACCTAATGACTCAAGTGCACGTAGATTTTTACTCACGGAGTCTATCATGCGCTTTAAAATGAATGACGATTCCTTAGTAATTACCTCAATGTTAAATAATGCCGTTACATGGTTTTGAATTAAAATACGTTTATTATTAAAACGTCCGCATAATAAATTCCAAGCCACCGAATAATTACTCGCCGAAAATTCAATAGATTGTATTACGACGGCGGCTGTCCCTTCGAGCGACGCGCGAAGATAATGAAACTTGTTGATATCATCGATATCATCATTTGAGTGTATTAAGCTAGAAAAAGTATCGTGAAACTCAAGCCAGTTGTCATACGACCCGCTAAATTTCGCAAGCTGAATAGTAGGCAATTTAACAAGCTTATTATTGTTAATACGTGAAAAATCTTTTTCACTGCCTAAACATTCAAGATTATTTTTATTTTGTCGAATAAGTTCGTGAGCTTTCGAAAGAATTTTATAATACGTCGATTCGAAATCATTCCGCTCGTTTATTTGACTATTGATATCGTCCACTATACACTCCAATTTCAATTGTACCTCATCGTACTGTTCGTATAATAATTCAATTTTACTTACGCGCAATTGCAGTTCGCTAATCTGAGACGAGCTCAATGTATCCTTTAATTCACTGAGATAATTATTGAATGCCGTTAATCGACCTTTGTAACTTGCCCTTTTTTAATTAATTCCCTTTCATCGGTCATTTTGAGATACAGGCGAAAATTATAATAATATCTGGAAATTGAACAATTATTGAGAAATTATCACTAAATATAACGAAAATAAAAAATAAAAACACTGCACTGGTTATTTCCTTTTGTTTTCTTCAAAATTTCTTTGTCTCCGTCTTCAAGGTGACCCCGGACGTTTCAAGTTGTATATACTTGTTGTAAATCTCTAATTACGTAGATATTCAGTAGATTATAATTTCTCGATGAAAATCCTCAATAGCCGCTAGAATCCGGCTCGAAGCTGACCATGAATACTTTTTAATTCGAGGAGAAGAATAAAACTTCTTGATGCAGATATTATCGCCGTGTACTTTCAATTGACAAAAAAAAGAATTGGCGGTGGTTACAACTTAAAAACAACAAAGAAAAAAAGAAATAAGTAAAACGTATGTAACGCAACTTCGTGCGTAACAAAAAACCACAGGCGTTTTCGTAGACACGGTCCCTACAGTCCCTACGGTCCCTACGATCCCTACGGTTCCTACTGTCGCTACAACCCCTTACCTTCAACCCTTCTACACCCCAACCTAACCCCACTACCCCTCCTCCCCCTTTATCTCCCAACCCTACAACCCTACTCCCACCCTAACAGCCCTATCAGCCCTATCAGCCCTATCAATCCTGGACGGGGGCCTACCGCGGTGGCCGTCCAGGGATGGAGTCGTGCAGGAATGGAATGAAGGAAAGGTTTAGGAACTGTCCCGCTAAGGAGTATGGCGAAACAGTCGAGCTAGTGCAAGCGCAGTCTCGCTCGAGAGTACTGCTCCACCCGAAGGTGTTGTGCCAGAGCCCGACCGGTTTGGCACCGTTAGGGGGTCGGGATGTATGCTGTGCTCGCCGTCCAGTTGTTGGTGACGCCTCGTCCAGGCGCCCTCCTCCGGCTGCGATGCAGTCAGGTGCCCACACGAGCACCCTCGCCTGGCAGCAGCAGCGGTGGATGCTTCTTCTTCTTTTTTGCACCCTTGCCTGGCAACAGTGAGTGCGTCCTCTTCTTTCTTGCACCCTTGCCTGGCAGCAGTGAGCGCTCCCGCCTGGTAACAGAAAACACCAAACGCCTTTGAGCGCTACAGGAAATAAAAACACAATCCCCGTAGAGGAAATGTCGAGCCCAATGACCCAACAGGAAATGCCAGACACGGTCGTCCGACAGGAAATGCCAACTATGGCCGTCCAGTGGAAAATGCCGAGCACGCTTGCCCGACAGGAAAAAATGCCAAGCCCTGCTTGACTACGATGAGCGCCTTCAAAAGGCACCTGCGCCTGGCTGCGATACGTGCCCCATGCGAGCACACGCCCCTAGCCGCAATCCCAGTTTTCTTTCTTCCGGTAGCTACCAGTATTCCAGGTCCGGTCCTGCCTAAGCCCTGATGGGCCTACTGCGCTGGCCTGGTCTTCTTGCCTTTGGTCCTGTTGCCTCAGCTCAAACCTCCGGCTTCCTTCGGTCGTTGATCTTCTCTCGGCTCCGAAGGTCCACTTGAATGGTATCCAGCAGCTCACAGCTGGTTCCTTCACATCCGGTTTCTCGAAGGACCAATTGAAAAAGATAGAGGCTTATTACTCCAATCCGGCTCGTAAGGAACCAATTGGAAAAGACAGGGAGGTTTAATTATTAATCCAATCCGTCTTCTCAAAGGACCAATTGAAAAGGACATGTACCTCTTCTCAAAGGATCAATTGAAAAGGACAGAGCTAAATCCTGCCTAAGACGCCTACGTTGGGTTCGGGAACAACGTATGTCAACCCCGCAACGGAGTAACACACAAGGGCGAGAACCTCTTCTTTTTCTTCAAATAGGTTCAAACGGGGATTACGGGTCTTGCGAGGTCGTCCCGATCCCAACGCCTTAATTCTTCAATATGTGCCGCTCCGGCGACACCAGAAGGACTGTACTTATTCTTATAGGTGAAGGGTCCCTTGGGAATAAAACAGCAATTATCTTCAAACCGTTCCGTGAGAGAGTAATTACTTTCCCTATCACTTCCCTATATACTTTTCTTTCTTGATTATATTATATACTGGTAGCTGGTCCCGAACGATTTACATGAAAATCAGTCTAACGGGGTATCAAAAAGGCTATACTCGAAAGAGAGCCGCGCCCTCTATGCAATTTCGCAACTTAATTACATCAATTTGTACTATCACTCCCTCACGGTTTGCTCAATATCTTTATTTGTATAAGACATACACTTATACATTTTATTTATAAAGATAGCACAAAAAAATATCTATACTACGATATACATTACATTTTCATATCACAAAAAACCTTTTATTTATTCAACAAAATATGCCTATTTTACAACATATACACTAAGTTAGAATTCTTAAACATCTAACATATGAGGTTGAAACAATGTTCTTTATTTGAAAATACAAATATCTTAACTAATACAATAGTTTAATTTACATTTTTCCTATATATTTTACCATTTAAAACACTTTTAAACTTTTTCTACAAAACTATCAATATTTCACTATTCTATAGGAAT